TGGAACTGTGCTCCAATCTCCCAGGCTTTGGCCTCTGCTCCTCCATCCAGCTGCTCATCTGTATTCTTCACCATGTCTTATATTGTATAATGAATGAGCAAACGTGTTTCCCTGAGTTCTCTAAGCTATCATAGAAAATTCTTCAATCTGAGAACAGCAGTAAGAACTTCTAGTTGTTAGCAAAGGAGTATGGGCAACCCAGGGAACCAATTCCTACAGTTGGCAGCTGACGGGAGGGCATAGTGTTATAGAATGGGGCCCTTAACCTCTAGATCTGCCAGTATCATAACTGACTTGCAAGACATCCAGTGGGGATACAGACAGCAAGAGGATTGGTTGGCTTAAAAGAAGCCACCTTTATTTGGTGGCCAGTATTGTGGCGGTGTGTGTGTGTGTGTGTGTGTGTGTCTAACAGCAGGTAAGCTTTTCCTATACAGGGGCTTCATGGAGTACAGTGAAGGCCATGTAGTAGAGGTAGTGTCTCAAGGTGGCTGGGGTCTCTCTGCTTTCTTATTGGTGAAAAGTAGGTGGAATGCAACATCCCAGGGAAGAACTATTACTCTATAAGGGCTTCAGTGTATATGTGATTCTGGCCATTCCTTTCTTCCTTTTGCTGTCATTTCCCACCTACTTACTTCTCGCTGCCCTGGGTTGAGCGGCTAGAGTGTGTTCATCTGGGGATTATGCCAGACTGAAGGCTTCCTTCGGGTCCACTAGCAATTGCTCCTGCTGCACATGTTAATGGCAAGAAGAGAGTCTATGACCCAGCTTTTCAGATAATAGGGTTCATAGGAAATCATCTAAGCATCTTGTGGCTTGGGCATACCCATCATCTTAGGTGTGAGGGTGGAAGTTTGGGGGCCATTGGGAACTCAGTATGGTCAACAGGAAGCTGGAGTGGTACTCAGTGTAGGTGTTAAAAGCCCAGAAGAGCAAATATTTGAGGCCTAGGTGCAGCTCTGTTTGTAATCTGCAGTGTGAACTTGAGCAATCTACATTGAGCTGCACACTGGAGCTCAGCGTCTTGATCCCCACTCCACACATGAGGCCTCTGAACTATGATTTTGCACTGTGGATGATTCATACAATAGCAGCACACTTGCACCCAAGAAGTCTTCCCAGGCTCTCTCTTCTTGTTATTTGTGTGAGGACAGTGATGATGGTGATGCCCCTTAGAAGTCTCTTCTAAGGTGGTGTGACAAGATGGTGGGTTGTCAAGATGTCCTCTGTAAAGTGCAAAAATGGTAGCTCGAGCTCAGATCTAGCCCTCCACCTAGTTTTCTTCAGTTCTATGCTCAAACTATTTTGAAATAAGGAGACAAACACTGCTGCATATGCCTTTAGTCCCAGCACTAGGGGCACAGAAACAGGAAGATCCTGGGAATTTGATGGACTGCCAGCTTAGCTGAGATGGCCAGCCTCTAGTTCAATAAAAGGCTGTATCTCAAGGCAATAAGACAAAGAGTGGTAGAAAAAGATATCTGATATCCTGCTCTGGCCTCCATAGTGCTTGCATGAGCACACATATCAGCATACTCCTGTTCATGCACCACACACACACACACACACACACAAACATACAAAACTGAATCTGTACCAAATTGCCATTCCCTCTTACCAGCAAATAAAAAAAAAAAGCCTAGTAACACACGTGTGTGTGTGTGTGTGTGTGTGTGTGTGTGTGTGTGTGTGTGTGTGATTTTTTTGGTATATATGACAAAATTGCCTGATAGAAGCACTCCGGGAAGAAAGATTTACTTGGTCTGCGGTGTCAGAGGATTTCAGTGTGTTTTGTGGCCAGGCAGACATGGCCAAGTGGCTTAGTTCATGGAAGGAGCAGCACATAATAGTCTGCTCACGTCACGACAGATCAAGTAGCAGAGAACAGCCAGGAGTTATGGTGCACACCTTTGATCCCAGCACTAGGGAGGTAGAGGCAGGCAGATCTCTGTGAGTTCAAGGCCAACCTGGTTTACAGGGTAAGTTCCAGGACAGCCAGGGCTACACAGAGAAACCCCGACTCAAACAAACACAATTTGACATTACAATAGATAGGGATAGATAGATAGATAGATAGATAGATAGATAGATAGATAGATAAAAGGAGAAGGAGGAGGAGCAGAGAACAAGGCTGCATCCAGAGCTAGGTGGACCCTCCTAAGGCTGGGCCCTAGAGACCTGCTTCTGCCAACCACACCTCACTTCCCAACAGTTCCCAAGCCTCCCCAAACAGTGCCAGCAGCTGGGGAGCAAGGAATCAAAACACAGGTCTGTGGGGACATTCCAGAGTCAACCCATAACACATACTATTAGGAAAATAAGTTCATACAACTTCATTATCAATCAAATTGCCAAATACCACTTGCCTGCCCCCACCCAACCAAAAAACATTAGTACATGGGGCTTATCCCATAGATTCAGGCACACACAGGAAATCAAATTTTTTTGGTTGTTGTTTGTTTTTATTTTTTGACACAGGGTCTCTTTATGTAGCCCTGGCTATCCTAGAACACACTAGGTATACCAGGCTGGCACTGAACAGAGAGAGAGAGAGAGAGAGAGAGAGAGAGAGAGAGAGAGAGATGCTAGCCTCTGTTTCCAGGGTGCTAGGATTAACATAATTCTAACGCACACATACAAGGTCATTGGAATGTTGTTTCTAATAGCTAGAGACTGAACCTAGCTCAGCTGCCTTTCAGTAGGGAACCTCAGTGAGGAAACTGGCCAGGCCACTAGGCTATAGGACAGTCATATAATTACGCATTATGTATGAAGAAGCCTTTTATGAAGGAGGGCCTGCAAAATATATCAACCACATTGACTGTGGTGGTGCATGACTTTAATCCTGGCACTTGGGAGGCAAAGGCTGGTGGATCAGAGTTCCTGACCAGCCAGGGTTACATGGTCAGACCCTGTCTCAAAGGAAAAGCAAAGTTAACTGAAGAAAGTAGCAAACACACACCTACCTGGTGCTGTGTGTGAGGCGAGGATCTGTAAGGAGGGACTCCAGGCCCCAGCAACAGGGGCCATGGTGGAGAGCACTCCTTGCAGGCTGGAGCCTAGGGTGGAGGCAGGACATTTCAGGGTCTATGTATTTACCTCTTTTGAACCTGGAGCTGTGTGATGTATTACTTGTTCCAAGAATAAAGCTCTAAAGATTCCCAGAGACCCAGATTCCGTGGTTCTCACTCCAGGCTTCTAACGTTTTATAACTTGGTGACCTAACTTCTATAGATCCAGAAGGCTCATCTTGCATGAGGTCAAGGATCTGGGGCCTTCTCTGGATCTTCCTGATCTATGCTGCCCTAAGCCAGGCCCTGCAGCTCTTGTGACATAGGTGGCTCCAATGAAGGGCTCCCTTCCTGTATGGAGCTCTTGTAGGAGCTCTTGTAGCCTGGGGATACTGCTCTCAGGCTCCTCACTGTGTCTTGTTCTCTGTCCTCCAGGGGAGCTTTCTCCGTGGTGCGCAGGTGTGTGAAGGTGCTGGCTGGCCAGGAGTATGCTGCCAAGATCATCAATACCAAGAAGCTCTCAGCCAGAGGTAGGCTCTGGGCTGCCTGCCCACTGCCAGCTTTCTTGCCCTAGACCCGAATCCCAAGCTTGACCTCTGGGAAACACTGTTGGCAGGCTAGGAGGCTCTTCCTTCTGAGGGAATAGACCCCTCACTTTCCTTCCTCAGGGAATCCAGGCTAGAGATTACGGCGTCTCCCAGATAGGTCAAGCCCTCAGTGGTACTCTCTCTTCCTTCTCCTCTGCCATGCCCTTCATGGCTTGACTCCCAACCTTTGCCTTTGCTGTATCTCTAACTGCGTGTTCAGCCAGGCTCCTTTTACGAGCAGCTCTTTTTCTCCTTCCAAGTCTCTCTACTCAGGGTCACACCCCAGGAGCAGTCGCCATTTTTCTCTTTCCACTGTTTTTGATTTCCATGAGCCTTCCCCTGGTTCACTTCCTCCTGCTCACCAATTTGGCTCCTTGTTTAATCCCTGATTCATGGTGACTGTGAGCCCCAACAGAGTGGACAGAACTCACTCCCTGCTCTGTGCTCAGCACCCAGGACAGCACCCTCACCAGCCATCGGAGCTGGTGCTGTCAGAGGGACCTGTCTGTGGCTCTGTTCCTACCACACAGGGTTTTGCATTGGTGTTCTGAGGAGTGGCCTGCTTTTGAAATAGATATCCAGCTAATTCTACCTTCAGGGGCTTTAGGAACTTTGTCCCCCAAATCTTAGAATGATCATGGCCAGTAGCAGCAGCCTTCCCTGGGAGATAGCCCCAATTCAGGCCTAAAACAGTTAAACTTGTATCTTAGTAAGATGGCCAGGGCTGCTGGAGTTTGAGAACTCTGCCCAGAAGAGCCCTGGTCATTCCTGTGTGTTTAGAACAGCAGTTGGTGTATTGGCAAGCCAATATCCACCCCAAATAGATGCCTAGAAGACTGTGTGAGGAGAATTCGGTTGGGTGAGATAGGTGGAGACTCAAAGGAGTGAGGTACAGTGTCTAAGTGTTTAGTAGGTGTTTAGTAGGCTGTAACTGTGTCAGGATGAGGGCCCAGCAGGTGCAGGGCTTATGAAGGTCCTGTGGATGCTGTACAGGGTGTTCATGCTGCTCTCTGTGGGCCTCCCAGCAAGACCTGGAATGGCATGCGGTTGCTGCCTTTTGTCTCCAGCTCTGTTGTCTGACCCACAGCGCTCTATTTACTTACTTTTCTGCATCTTGCAAGGAGGAGAGGCTCTAAGGGTCCCCAGCTGACATGACTAGTGTAAAAAGTTCAGGCCTGCAGAAAGTCTAGAGTCAGAGCCAGAGCCAGAGGCAAGGAACCAGGTGGGTAGGAAGTCCGACTAGAGTGCTGCCTCCTGTTGGCAGGCCTGGAGCAACCTCCTATTGCTATGTGCTTCATTGTACCTCAGTTCCTGAGATACTGGAGACAGGGCTAGAGCAGTGGTTCTCAACTTCCTAATGCTGAGACCCTTTAATACAGTTTCTTGTGACCCAGCAACTGTAGTTTCTTTCATTGCTATTTCGTATCTGTAATTTTGCTACAGTTATGAATCACAATGTAAATATCTGTGTTTTCTGATGGTATTAGGTGACCCCTATGAAAGGGTCATTTGAACCCCAAAGAGGTCACAACCCGCAGGTTAAGAACCCTGAGCTAGAGTAATGACAGGTCAAGTTTTGCCCTCAAGAGGGCATCAGGGAGGAAGATTAGAAGGGAGCATCATGCTAGATGCTGGTGTTCTTGGATTGGTTCACCACCATCTCAGGGGACATACATGGAGAGACAGAGGCCGTCACTACTGTTTGGGAAAGTGACTAAACATCCTGGACAGTGAAAACTTGCACTGTTTGTGTCAGGCAGCTACTACCTAGGCCTTCTCTTCCTATCTGTTGTGACCTTGACCTCCTAGGAGGAAAGTAACCCTGCCTAGGCTAGGAACAGGGGAGCAAATGAGAGGGAACTTTCTCCATGCCTGCTGCCACCAGCCAAGCCTCTCCCACAGCAGGATGGAGAGCAGAGATTCCTTTAGCAGGTCTCTGTGTGTCACTCACCTCCACAGGGGGGCTTTATAGCTGTCACATTTGGCACTATTCTCTAAACTTCTCCTGCTGGCTCTTTGGGACGACTTCCTGCAGCTCCCAGCAGGAGCTGGACCCACCCAGGGCTTCTGATAACCCCTCCCAGCAAGCTGTGGCCCCCCCTAGCACGCCCCACATGGCCTCTTCTAGCAAGTAGTTCCCAACTCCGGGAGATATTTTTATTATGTCTTTTAAAATTAGTTCTTAAGAACAAAACCTTCATAGTGTCACTCAAAGGAACCACAAGCAAATAAAATGAAATGTGAAAATTTTGCCTGTTCACATCCCCGCTGTTCCCCAATTCCAGTCTTAAAAACAAAATGCAATTGCCTGAGCTTCACCCCAGAGCTGAATTGTCTCAGTGAGGCTCTTGGATAGCAAAAATCCTGGCATGTTGATGACAGCCATGTGCTCCGGGGTAGACCCTGCCAGGTGCTCTATGGACCTCCTGGGGAATCTGGACACAAAGATGTTGTTGGTGCAGTGGTCATGACAAAGGCTTATGAGCTATCTCTGAGCTTCCTTGGGACCCCTATGACAGTGCTCTCAGGAGGCTTTGGATTATTTCTCTCATATCTCAGGATGGGGAGGGACCTGTTTTGCTCCCAGAGCCCTCCCCCACTCATTATCTCTCCTGCTACAAACCTGTTTGCAGGAGCCCAGCCTCTCTGCATCCGGTGTGCTTGTATGGCTCTGGTCCTGCCTGGCCCTACTGGGACTGTCTGGCTCCTGGGACTAGACTGTCTCCAGTTTGGCCTCCATACCCTGAGGATGACCCAACCAGAGTGGGATGAAGGTGTTATCGTGGGTATTAGGGGCCATGTTCTCAGGTACCAGGCAGGGTGTGGAAACTCTGAACTTCCTTGGATGACTCATCACTGTGGGCTGGGACTGAGTCATGCACTAATTGATTATCAGTGCATCTATTGGCAGGAACTGGCATGCAGCTATGTCACTTGCCTGTGCTAGGAGTTTGGACGAGCCTCTCAGAAGCTCCATGCTAGGCTCCTGGAACTTGGCAGTAACCAGTGGACAAGGTTGTGTTCCCACTGGGCCTGTTTTCTTGGGAATGAGACATGAAGCACACCTACAAACTATGTAGAGTGAAGAACTGAGCAGTGTTACCAAGAAAATCAGACGGGTATGGCAGCACATGCTTTTGAAGTTCAAGACCAGCTTGGTCTATACAGTGAGTTCTAGGACAGCCAGGGCTATAGCACAGAGAGACTCTGTTTAGAAGAAAGAAAGGTCAGACCTGGTGAAGGAGAAGTGACAGGCAGAGGGACACTCTTAGAAAAGGCAGCTGGGGAAGCTCTCTGGGGAAGTGATTTTGTGCTGGTATCTGTCTGAGGAGGACGAAAGCAGTAGAAGGCCCAGGGGAGGAACACTCTAGG